TGTTTGAAACATCTGCCAGGACAAATACTTCATTGTACAAAGGTTAAGTCCAAGATAAAACGAACTGTTGTTTGAAACATCTGCCAGGACAAATACTTCATTGTACAAAGGTTAAGTCCAAGATAAAACGAACTGTTGTTTGAAACATCTGCCAGGACAAATACTTCATTGTACAAAGGTTAAGTCCAAGATAAAACGAACTGTTATTTGAAACATCTGCCAGGACAAATACTTCATTGTACAAAGGTTAAGTCCAAGATAAAACGAACTGTTGTTTGAAACATCTGCCAGGACAAATACTTCATTGTACAAAGGTTAAGTCCAAGATAAAACGAACTGTTGTTTGAAACATCTGCCAGGACAAATACTTCATTGTACAAAGGTTAAGTCCAAGATAAAACGAACTGTTGTTTGAAACATCTGCCAGGACAAATACTTCATTGTACAAAGGTTAAGTCCAAGATAAAACGAACTGTTGTTTGAAACATCTGCCAGGACAAATACTTCATTGTACAAAGGTTAAGTCCAAGATAAAACGATTCCGTACAGGAGTAAATTGAATTTTTTCCCAGTTTGATCTGCAGTTCTTGACAAATGCATGAAAAATCCTTTATACATTATACAACAAATGGAAGGAGAAATCTTACAACCTCATATCACCATACCTCGGGCATTTATACTTTAAAGTCGAGTTAATAATATATAATTTATGGCATTAGACCATGCACTGAAATTGGCTTTGTATAATCAGCATACCTTGGGTGCCTTGTACCTCCCAGAGTCCACTGGATCAAGAAGCAAGTTCCTACTGGTATCCAGCTGTACATCTCCCAGAACTGGGGCAGAAGTGCAGTTGCAAGAAGGCAAAGGAGAAGAAGTAGGAGAGGGAGTGTACCCCAAAGGAGGTACAGGGGAAGGGGTAGACCTTGAGCCAGCAGGCTGAAATGATTAGAAAGGAAAATAGGAGGAGAAGTTTCAAGTCAGTAAGCATTAATTAATGCACATATAGTCTATTTTCAGTGATAGAGCCATGCATAGGCATCAGCCACTACACCACAGTTGCACATTAAAATAAATTTTATATGATTATATTACACACACACATATATACACTAATTAAAATTTCAGTGCACACATACCAAACAATGGTATGTGCTAACGTACGACTTTCTGTGCCACTGTGAAAAAAAACCTTTAAACTATCTACATAAACATGCTCTTCACTCATGTAGTGCAAAACAAACAAACTGATGCAATAAATCATCATAAAAACATTTTGAAAATGAACAAAATGTAAATAACATACTTGCTTCAAACTCACAATTTGTAAAATAAAAAAAAAATGTGGTTGGTGTAAAGAAAATGTGATTTTTGAGAAATCTTCCTTCAAAACTTAAAATCTTTTGTGCCAAGCAATGTGTGCGTATGAAGTACTGTGCCAAATTCAAAGTTAAAAAAAACTCTTGAGTTGTGAGTGCTAGAAAACTTATTATTGATACTAATAGGAAGCTAAGCTGCAAATAATTTTTGTTCTTCAGTATTTCTGGCTAGGTCGAAGAATGTCGGAATTATATCAAAGAAGGTTTTGTAAATACTTAGGTAGACTGAAACTAGATAATAAATGGTTCTTGAGGGGTATTCACTGTAAACAATAAAGAAAAAGTGAAATACAGATAAGACTACCAAAATAATTTATCTATGGCCAAATTACATAGACAATTGATAAGTGAATAAAATAAAGGTATCAAATCTATTCATGAGACTTAATCCCCATGAAGGATTATGGGTAGAACACGACAAACACAAAAAAGAAACAAAGACTCTATGGTACTAAAATATTATCATCAAATGACAGAATTATATTGCTTAATTAATACACAAGTTAAAAACAAGTTTTTCTGCATGAGAATCAACAGTTCTCGAGAATCTGTTTTTAACTACATTTAAGTGTCCATAGCTGATTTAGGTTTCCTGTCTAATATGTAATGGTGTTTGGCACTCATTCTGCATGTACTTTAATCTTTGACTTGATAATTTTTTTTTACCTGTAAAACTTCACCAACAATGGTTGGGTGAACCTACATTAAATTTTCAAGTAAATAGTACTTGTATTTAATCTCCAGTAAGAGTTAGTGACGAGTTTGTTTTTTTAACAAATAAAATTATACTAAGTATTACATTAATTAGAAAGACTTAGGGACTAGTCATGCATGATTTACAAAAACAAAAAGATAAAAATTAAAGATTCAAGGAACTTAATCATGCTAATCTTAAATATTATTAAAGTAACATCATTAACTCTGGCAGTGGACTTCAGATATAAACTCACTGTATTAGCTTGTTGAGGATGATTTACGACATGCTTCCTCATCACCACAGTGGTTGTTTTTGTCTCCCTGCCACCAGAGGAGCTCTCACCACCTGTGCTACTAGCCGACTCTGGCGTGAGAGGTCGCAACAATTGTTCTGCAGCTCGCACGACCTCTAACACTTTCTGATCAACAGTCTTAGCAACGTGGGGAACAACTGCTTGATACTAGTGAAAATTATCACATTATTAATTAACTTCCTTCTCTAGAAACACTTATTAAAAATTAAACTAAACCCCTTTATGTATGTTTAAAACTTCAACTGCTCCCAGACAAAAATCTTATAGAAAATAATCTTTGTAAGTCCTAGAAAATCACTGGAATTTGTTTAAGCACACACTGAGAAAACACCGGTGCTTTTAACAATAAGTTTTAAATTTTAGGTATATGAAAAACACTCGTAACTCATCCAAAAACACAAACAAGCACTATATATTTTTCGTTCTTTCTTCATGCGAAGTAAAAATATTTCTAAGAACAGTATAACAATTTGCAGTCCAGATAACAAGTGTGAAAGGATGGATGTTATACATGAAACAGAAAAAATAATATTTAACATTTAATCAAAGTACTGACCTTTTTGTGGTAATGTATAACTTGAACACATTAATATGAAAGATGACATTTGTTCCTTTAAGAAACATGGAAGAAAGTAAGATACCTTTGAATCTATTTGTCAGATCTCACTGTACTGGTAAAATACAGATACACAATGCATCACAAAGTTCACCAACGTCCCACACAAACACTTACTGAAACCTCGTCACATTTAACTAATCTTATTATTAAACCCTCACTCAATATCAAACACCTTTAAAATGTTAGAATATTCCACATTTGAGTATTTAAACAATGTGAATTACCTAAGTCATCCTATTATTAAACCCTCATTCCAATATAAAACACCTTTAAAATGTTAGAATATTCCACATTTGAGTATTTAAAAAAAAAGTAAATTACCTCAGGAAAATTTGCTAAAGCCCTATCTGTGTGATTGGATGACCTACATTTGAGTATTTAAACAACACACAAACACTTACTGAAACCTCGTCAAATTTAACTAATCTTATTATCAAACCCTCAAGCCAATATAAAACACCTTAGAATATTCCACATTTGAGTATTTAAACAATGTGAATTACCTAAGTCATCCTATTATTGAACCCTCATTCCAATATAAAACACCTTTAAAATGTTAGAATATTCTACATTTGAGTATTTAAACAATGTGAATTACCTAAGTCATCCTATTATTAAACCTTCATTCCAATATAAAACACCTTTAAAATGTTAGAATATTCCATATTTGAGTATTAAAACAATGTAAATTACCTCAGGAAAATTTGCTAAAGCCCTATCTGTGTGATTGGATGACGTGGATGAAATACTGTGGGCATCTGCATCTCGATCTTTCCTTATTCGATCCTTAGTAGAAGATAGGTAAGCATTGAAAAGATACTAGTACTTGAAATGCTAAATCAACTAAATAAAAAATCTTCATCGTATTTAGAACTTAAGCTACAAGTAACTTAGCAAGTGGATGAAATACTGTGGGCATCTGCATCTCGCTCTTTCCTTATTCGATCCTTAGTAGAAGATAGGTAAGCATTGAAAAGATACTAGTACTTGAAATGCTAAATCAACTAAATAAAAAATCTTCATCGTATTTAGAACTTAAGCTACAAGTAACTTAGCTTTTTTTCTTTTC